TCTCAGTGCGTTTTTTCAGGCGCGGGAGCGTGGGTCGTGCTGGATGAGCTCAACCTTGCTCCGAGTGAGGTGCTGGAGGGAATCAACAGGTTACTTGATGATAATCGCGAGATTCACATTGCGGAGACTAACACAACCGTTGTCCCCGATCCCGACTTTGTCGTATTCGCCACGCAGAATCCCGCTGGGGGAGACTATGGAGGGAGGAAGCAGCTGTCGAGGGCTCTCAGGAACCGTTTCACGACGATGTGGATCGACTCGCTATCTTCTGATGAGCTTCGAGCTATATTGCAGCACAAGTGCCAACTGGCTCCTTCGATCGCGGCAGCTATGGTGAAGGTGTATGAGGACCTGAGAGCCCATCGGAATGTTGACGCTCTCCTTGCTGGAGGGGGAACGGATCTGATCACGATCAGGGACATACTGCGTTGGGCTCACAGGAAGCCTGGCACCATGGAAGAGTGTGGCCTTGAGGGTTGGTGCCTGCTGGGCGAGAGGTTGCGTCATGAAGACCAGCGTAGTGAGGTGGCTAAGGCTATTGCGAAGCACTGCAAGACTTACGGCGTGACGGCTGCCTCTTACTTGGAGACCAACTATCGGGAAGATCCCTATGTTCTGGAAATACAGAAAAGTGGTGGTGGCTCGGGACTAGTGTGGACGGAGACTATGTGCCGCATGGTGGCTCTGGTCGGCCGCTGTGCGAGGAACGGGGAGTCGGCGCTTCTGGTGGGCGAGACCGGCACGGGAAAGACGACGGTCGTGCAAACAGTTGCAGACTTCCGGCGCATCAAGTTGGAGATCGTGAACTGCCATCAGCACACGGAGCCTGCAGACTTCCTTGGCGCGATGAGGCCGACGGCTGGCAAGAAGGACGTTCGAGGACTGATCAAAGCCAAGGCCAAACGGATGTGTGATCTGGTCGGCCGAGATGTCGATGAGGAGCAGTCCGTCGCTATAGTGCGGGAGATTGTGAACGAGTATGAGCTCGAGAGTGATGAGAATAGTGAAGATCCGCCCAGTCCGAAGAGAGCTCGGGTGAGGTCTGAGTTAAGAGCTCTGTGGAGGGAAATAGCAGACTTGCGAGCTGATGTGAATCACGATCGGAGCATAGATCACGACTTGTTCGCCTGGCAAGACGGTCCTGTAACAAGAGCTATGCGCGGCGACGGTCACTGGGTGTTGCTCGATGAGGCCTCCTTAGCCACTGATGCTGTTCTGGAGCGGCTAAACTCGGTTCTGGAGGCAGGTGAAAGGAGTGTGATGCTTGCTGAGAAGCCCGGTGGAGAAGTTGTTGTCGGCGGGGATAAGTTCAGTTTGATGATGACCATGAATCCTGGTGGGGACTTCGGCAAGAGAGAGCTCAGTCCGGCGCTGAGGTCGCGTATGACTGAGATCTGGGTCAAGGCTCTCGACTATGCCGATGAGAATGACGATTCTGAGGCCAGCAGGCTCATACGGAAGCTCCTGAGCGACGAGGCGAAGTCACTGATGCCGTCCATTCGTCGAGCTGTCGCGTGGGTGGT